AAGTAAAATTACGGTAGGATCGATAGTGTATTAGTTTGAATTTTAGTGACGTCATGTGAAAACCAACAATTGTTTGTTTCCCTTTTCTTAGTCTTGTATCTTTCTTTTTCTTATTCTTAGATGGCTCATTGGCTTCTATTACCCGAGGAAAAGGTAATGAACAACTACCGTAAACCCTCTATTAAACACCCCTCGGGCTTATTTATTTTAAACACGTTTAAGCAGGGGGGGGGGATATTTGAGAGGGGGCTTATTTAATTTATAACGACGATGGTATCAGCTCTCCATAAAGAGCTAGGAAGCAAAGTGGAAAAGCTCAAGTACAAGAACTAGGAAGTCGTCCAGCCGAGGATCAAAAACAAATCCGACGGTTTTACAGTCGTGGTTGATTAATACAGTCTATCATTTATTAGTGAAGAATAATAAGGGGGAGGGGAGAGGGGCTTATAGAGAGGGAGCTTATTTGAGAGAGGGGACTTAATGGAGGATTTACGTACGGCAAATACTTAGTAACCTCGGCATCTATAGCATGACTAAGCATAGTATACAACTATCCCTGGAAGGAGAGGTGAATAGTGGTGTATACAGCTATTTCGAGAAAGGTTGACGGGAGAAATGTGCACGTGACAATCCCGGTAATATAGGATATGATCAATACACTGTTCGTAACGACTGAAGCTGTCGAACCTACTTTTGTTGCTTTTCTTTCGTACTCGCAAACATATGTCCGTGGCCTCCCGTACCATTCTTTTAAATTTCTTTGAAGAACAGTGCCCTCAAAGCCACCCACAATACCTTTCGGGATTGTCGCGTGCACTTTTTCCGACAACCTTTCTCGAAATAGCTGTATACCGAGACGCGGAGCGTGGAGGTATACATCTAGCGCTATGAACCGAACCTGAGGGGGATAGTCGTTTTAGTATTTACCAAATCGGTTGGATAAAAATGAAAAAAAAGTAACTTTTTTAAATTAAATCGTCACTTAGTACGAAGTTTGTTTACAATTTACAAACATTTCGGGAATTTTGTCAAGTGCATAATTACGATTTTGTTTGCGACTTCAGCATGAAAATAATTTTGTACCTAACTGTAATAAAACACCGACAAGCCAAAGTTCGTCGCTCTCTTAGTATTTGTTTGTACGACTTGTTCATTTATCGCTCAAATTTCGTCTTCCAAAAATGTCTCGAAACGAGACGCCATCTTAGCTTCGGTCGCAAAACAGAGAATAGCCAGGGGTGAATAGCCAAGGATATTCCGAGTTACGTTAGCCAATCAAAAGGCGCGGAAATTGCTATTCATTGATTTGGTAAATACTAAAAGGGGATATTAAGGAGTATTTCTCAAACATATATGTAGAGGATTTTACACGGTGGCGCGAAGATATGAATTTTATTTTCGCGTGGCAAAACAATATTGTTTTTGCTAAGAGAAAATAAAATTCATACCTTCAAGCCGCCGTGTAATGTTCTTTTTATTATATACACAAAAAGACATCGATAAAATAATAGATTTTTATTCGCCAAAAAGTAATTGCGACGGCTCAAATTTACAGTACTTAAGCAATATAACACATCCTTTACAACAATCTAGAGAAATAACACTGAGCTGAATAGAGCTCTACAATGACAAAATATAAGCAAAGCTTTGAAAAATGTGTAAGTAAAATTCGAAAAAAAGATAAGTAATAAAAAGCTTTGAATTATAGTTAAATCATAACAGTAACAATTTACCGAATCTTAGTAATAAGGCGGCAAAAAAGTTTTCAATAGATGTGAACGAAATGTGAAAAAAGGCATGAAAAAAGGCCAAAGAACAGTTTATTGGCTTTCATCGCTACTATCAATAACAATTCTCCGTCTTTTAAACCGATGTGTTTTCTCAAAATCGCTGCCTTTTGGATTCTGCGAATTTGTGAATAGTTCACTGTTCCTACCTGGCACTGATAAAGAAAGGGCAAAGTTCCTGCACTTGTGCTGGGTTGAACTGTAGATACCGATGTAAATTCATCTACTGTTACTTTTGGCGAAGACGAAGTAGCAACGGAAGTAGAAGATTTCCCTCTCCTGGATAATACTGTAGAGATGTACTGCTGTCTTCTGTCAGAAATAGCGGAGTAGTTATTCAGTGAATTGACGTTTTTGTGTCCAGTTATTTGCACAATTTCGTTCGGTGGAATATTATTATCCACAAGTTTCTGAACCATTTCTTCCCTGCCTTCGGAACTTCTGCAGTTGACAGCAAGATAAAACGGAGAGTCGTCTGCCATCATTTCTGGTGGTCTATGTTGCTTATAGGCCAAATAGGCTGTGACAGGACAGCGATCATTATTGTCAAGGTTTTCGAATATCTTTGGCTTGCTTTCTCTGAAATTTCTTGTGTTTTCAAGAGTTCTCGTTTTTGTTTTGCGCTCGGTGGAAAACTTCACGTAACGAAGCCCGTCGGCATTAGTTTTCAGCTCCATATCTCCCTAGCAAAGATCTCGTTGCTCTTGTCCAGGCCTCATGACGAAATAGATACAATTGTTCATCCAAACTGTATTCAGAAGTGCTCGTGGCGTTTTATTTCCGAGCACTCCTGCCCGGTAGAATTCCTCTATTTCTTCATCTGTTAGTGCATCGGCACTATTTGGCTTGTTTCCCTTTCCTATGGCCTTAAGTTGTTTCTGCTTCTTTTTCAGGATATCTTGAACCTCACAGAATTCTTTGTCGTTCAAAAGGGAAAATGTGCATCCTTTTTTACCGAGGTAGCGGTCAACACTTTGCAAAAACCCTCTTAGAGAAGATGGTTCATATTCCTCGCCATTTTTCTTTCTTACTCCGAGTACAAACTTCTTTGCCAACTGTTGGAGCTCGGCGGCTGGAATATTTTCTATGTTTCTCTCTTCTTCCTCTCTGTTAAGAAGCTCGAATTTTAGATCAAACACAGTTTTCTTCTTCGTATTGGCATTTTCTTGGTCTTCGGTAAACGACGCAATTTCCTCTTCAGTAAACTTGACGAATCTTTTGCTCGCCATTTTCATTCACGAGAATGTTTGGCAGCGTTTGCAAGACGCCTACAAATTTCGGAGGGAAATTATCGAAATTACGTATCATTACTTTACCCGAAAGCTGGTCAAAATTAATAAGCAATAACGAGGAATAAGCTAATGCTAGGAGGAAATAAAAATTAATACAGGTGTAATTTAAATGATGATGATGATTTTGATGATGATGATGATGATGATGATGATGAAGCTGCTTCGTCACGACTTATAGCTTAGTCTCAAAATACCCTAGAATCTTTTCCAGTGAGTGAGGTTTTTTCATTTAGAAATTGAAGACATTATCGTTAATTCCATTTTGTTGCTGTTTACTTTTGAAAAGATTCAAAAACAGATGCAGATGTCCCAGTGGTCCCAGTTTTCTCCGGAAGAGAAGGTAATAGATTCTGCACTTTTTATCCCTTTAATTAAACCTCGTTCTTTAACAGCTTCAGCACCATTGTTTTGCGTGGTTCTCAGCTATAAGGTTTTCCCATGCAGACCCTCATAATAGTTTGGGGCTGTAGAGGGGGGAGGGGGGGGGGGGGTAAGGGATAAAGAACTAACTTTCGCCCTGCATAGAAAAAAAAAGTTGGAAGGGTCGCGAACTCATAAATTTCCACGTGTTTAGGAACTGCTTGAACTCTTTAGAAAACACCTTAATTGTTCATTAGTCAGTGGACATATGTTCGCTATGACGTCATTGCAAGGTTCACAAGTGCCATGGAAAAGTTCTGTTAAAGTGTTTCTTTCTTGGAGTCTCCATCTTGATGTTTAAGAGTAGTGTGACTATCAAGTAATCGTTCGGGAAAGTGGAGCCTGTGAGAGTTGTTACCTTTGGAAGTGGAGTCTACCGATCCTGAATAAAATACAGTTCAGTGAAATTTCGTGTACAAGCTCTTTTTCTTGACTTGTTACAACCCATCGGGTTAGAGATTTGCAGAAATATAACTTGATGATGATACTGATAAACAACAGTTTACTAAAAAAACATGATTCTCTCAAGATTAAATAGGCCATTACCGAGTTGTTTTTTTTTCTCATGCAAAAAAAACTCAGTTTCAAAGGAAAGATTTTACACTTAGCCTCGTTTTTTAAGTCAGAGGTTTTGGAACTAAGAAATGGCCTATTACTGTAAATATGAAAAGAACAATATTGATTGTCCCATGCATCAAAAAGTGTAATATTTCTAATGTGCCACTGAGGCCATAAACTCGAGCACTACTCAGCTCACCGCTACACTCTCTAAACACTCTCGCTGTTAAGTCACATGACTTCAGACTTCGCGCGCTAGGGAAGTCCTGGATGTACATTACAAATACAAAGTATCTACAAGTTTCAAAACAAAGCTCTGAACAGAACTTTGTGACCTTTTTGCTTTCTAAAACATCATAATTGTAATGTCCTTTCGATTGTTGAGTCTTAGGCGTCAAAATGGAAAAGATGTGAAATACTGATATCTGGCAAAGAGAAAATGAGAAGTAAAACCAACTTGAAGACTGACTCGGAGATCCTGGATAGCTACAAACCAAATGATGACTGTGTCCACGTTTTAAGGACACGGTTTCCTCACCGTGCGGTTACAAAAGCGGAACAGCAACTACCAATCGCCTTTGGCTTCAGTGTCCACAAAGGTGCTCGTTTGTTCGAACAACTTCTGCAAGCTATCTACATGCCACACAACGTTTATTGTATTCATATCGACAAGAAGTCTCCAGACGTCTTTCGTAAAGCAATACTTGCGATGATACGGTGTCTGGCGAATGTGTTTTTGTCCAAAAAGAGCGCGGATGTTGTCTGGGGACATTTTTCTATTGTTGAAGCTCAGCTAAACTGCATGGAGGAGCTTTTGCATAGTTGTTATTTCACCTTTATAATGTAATTGAACCAACCTGTCCTAAAACCACTTTATGAAAACAGTCAAATCGTGGTAGCTTTACAAAAGTTAAACAATACGAACAGCATAGAAAGTTTCCCGATGCCTGAGCATAATTCTGATAGAACTAAAAAAGTTCACATTTTACAAGACCACACTATTAACGACACGGAGGCTGAAAAGTCTCCACCGCCCCACAATATTCCAATACAAAAAGGCTCAACACACATTGTTGCAATTAGAGAATTTATCGAGTTTCTTCTCCATAGTAAGATAGGAAAAGACTTTGTTAATTTCCTGAAGGACACCTATGTCCCAGATGAAACAATCTACTCGTCTTTACAACAGCATCCGTTGACGCCAGGAGGTCTCCTTGGTGAACAGCATAATTACATAACACGTGCTCTCCACTGGTGGGATGATGAGTTTTCCGATTGCAAAGGCGAATGGGTTCGAACCTTGTGCTGGTTGTCCATTGAGGATTTGCAGTGGGCCTTGGGCGAAACAATGAAGGAAAAACTATTTGTTCACAAGATTCCTTTTGACAATAATGATGACATAGTAGAGTGTATTCTAGTGGCAAGACAAGGAAGAACGTACAACACCACTGCATGGAACCCAGAGAACCTAGAGAAAAAATTAAAGATAAGAGAATAAATTTTCCCCGGTCTCAAAGTGCCATAAGGATTAGTTTTTGAGCTGTAGACACCTAGTGTGTAACAAATGTTTATCCAATTCACTTTTGGCTAGAAATAGCAAAGAGAAAAAAACCTTAATGTTCACTTTCGCTTTTTTTTTCTTTTATCGTTGGATATTTTTACCGTGGTGTATCTAATGTTTGACCTTTCCAGTAGCTATGCAAACCTGGGCCACAGCTGACCCAGGCGTAACCGGCACTGTTTGCATGGGAATTAAAGCTCAAATAAATGTAGACGGTTAAAAGATTCTCATTAAAGCAGAAAACAATGTTTCTCCGTGTTGTTATATGAATAGTTTATTAAAACTCTCTTGCAGTAAAAAGAACTGAATTATCGAGTACATTTTACAGTCTTAACGCAACTATCATCTAGAGTATAGTAATTTACAGTTACAACAATGAAAATAACAATTGAATCACTTAAAAAATTTAAATGCAAAGAAGTCCTCCACTCTCTTTGTCCTACAGACCTGCATGTTCCGGAAAAGATAATACTTTTGTGTTTTCTGCCTTAAAGTGTAGTTAGGCGCGTCCAGAAGTGAGCTGGGAGGTAGGTGGTGCAGAGGGTGGCTGGGGGACTTCATTTTCGCCATATATTTGTAGCACAAGAGTACTCGTCTATCATCTAACCTATCTAGTTTACCTAACTGTAAGGCATAAGCATATGACTCTGCCTCGGGGTAGATTATGTTAAGCGCCCTTTTTTGCACTCGCTCTATGGCTTTGGACAGGTAAGCAGGGATGTTCTGCCAGACTGGTACAACATACTCTAAAACTGGCCGGACTGTGCTAAGGTATATCCTCAAGATGTTGGGTTGGCTCACCCTGGCTATGCGGAGAACTCTAAGGGAGTATAACTTCTCGCAAGCTTTCTTAATAATGTAATCAACATGACAATTCCACTTCAGGTCATTGTCCATAATAACTCCTAAGATCCTATAGGTATTGACACGCTTGATGACATCGCCGCCAATTATTATCGGGTTAATGAGACAATTAGAGTTGCGTAGGAAATTAATATGCATTTCTTTACACTTGGTTGGATTAAGTCTCATATTATGAGAAATGGCAAAATTGTGAATGTCTGAGGCCACTACATTAAGTAAGCTAGGGGAGTTCCTTGGAATTATTTTGAGAGCACTGGTATCATCAACGTATTTGATGCGCAGCCGCCAGTCAAACAGCAGTTTGTTGGTCATCACCGTAAAGAGGATCAGACCCAGTTTAGTTTCTTGGGGCACTCCTCCTTTTAGTGTTAACCAATCTGACAGAGTTCTTCCGATTCTAACTGCTTGCTTCCGGGATGTCAAGAATGCCGCGATCCAAGATAAAAGGACTGGATGAACTTCAAGATCTGCCAGTTCCTGTATCAATATTGAATGATCAATTAAATCAAACCCCTTGGAAAAATCTGCGAAGGAAATCCTAGGCAACGCCTCACCACTATCAACTGCCTCGTAGATCCCTTCAAGCATATATACAAGGGCATCTTTCGTAGAATGCCCCTTGCGGGAGAACTTACAAGGGTCGATCTTACCTTCCAACTGGGGCAGGAGTCTGGAACAGGTAAAGCCCTCCATAACTTTTGCCAAAGTACAGGTAAGAGATATAGGTCTTAGATCTTGTCCAATAAGAGCGGTTGGAGACACCTTAGGGATAGGTGTAACAATAGACGATTTCAGAAGAGCTGGTACGTCCCCCTCCCTTAGAGACTGGTTGTAAATGTCACAAACGAGGGGGGCTATCTCCAAGGCAAAATCTTTCAGAATCCGGTTAGGTATGTTGTCAGGGCCGACTGCTTTCGATGTCTGAAGTGAGGACAAGGACTTGTATGCCTTGTACTCTGAAATTAATAATTCATCAGGAACAGATAGCGGGGGCACTCCCTGGCACAGGGGTGGGAAATGATCAGTCAGTCCAACAAAATAGCTGTTGATCTTATTTGCTAAACGCTTGATATCTGTGTCTTTATCAAGGAACTGATGGTACCACTCCTGCCTACCAACCTGGCCAGCTAACTTTCTTATATCCCTCCACCATTTCGCGGGATTCACATGTTTGACCTCAGCAACCTTTTCCTGATAGTAGTGGTGTTTTGCTGTTTTTATTGCACCTTGAACTTTGTTTCTCCAATGACGATAGGCACCCGAGTCCTTTCCGTGTCTAGAAAATGCAGATTGGCGTTTACCAATCCACATTTTGATCTTACTAGTTATCCAAGGGCGGTCAGTAGGGTGTTTCTTTGAGATCTTCTGCGGAAGAAAAATACTAATGGCACCATCAAGCTCTGACATGAGCAGCTGGAACTTTTGCTCACACGAAGAGGCATTGAGAATTGGGTCCAGTCCTTTTGAGTTATCCATCGTCCGAGAGCACGCCACGCAGTATCTCGCATATCACGCACAACTGATTTCTCTGTTGTGTGGGTAGTGATAGGAGCTGATACTGGTTTAGCTAAGATAGTATAATGATCCGATAATCCGACCTTCGGAAGCTGTGATAGAGTAAATAGCTTGGATCTGTTAGTAAAAAACCAGTCGAGCGTGCCAGTATCGCGGGTTTTAAAGGATACAAGTTGTTTCAATGGGTTCACCCAGGCAACTTGTCCTTGAACCCCAGTTGAAGTGGGGTTAAAATCACCAGTTAACACAGCAGGTGCGTTAGGTTGCTTCAACAGCAGCGCATCAAGGTTCTTTTGTATATGATCACGAAGAATAACATTCTCGGGTTCGCGGTTGCTGGTCGAGTGATAGATAACACCTAAGACAATTGATGTTATTACCTTGGCAAACTATGAGGTCTCATTGAAATCCACGACGGCTCTACTTCCTCTTGATCGCAGGACTGTAATAATTTACACGGTATTTTCTGGTCTAGATAAATACACACTCCACCTCGCTGTAGCATAAATACGGTCCTTGCGAAATAGATTGAATCCAGGAATAGCAACGCAGGAATCTGGGATATCAGTAGACAACCAAGACTCCGTTAAACAGCCAAGACTCCGTTAGTTGTTGTTGTTGTTGTCTTTTTTGTTTGTTTGTTTGTTTTGTTTCTCATCTCCCTCTCTGCCTTTAGGTAGGTTAAAGGAAGTGAGTAATAGGTAAGAAAGTAACTTTAAGTAAGCAAGCACAATGTAGGTGACGCTGCTGATCCTGTAAAGAGGAAAGTGTGACGACACGTTACCATGGTAGCAAACTTACTGGATCACAACAATAGGGTGCTTAAGCAACGATGCCGGCGACGGCAAAGAGAACTCGAAAAAAGCAGGGTAAAAAATAGGCTTTTGTGGGGGAAGAGAACTCGAACCGGAACACATCGTTAAAGTTCTTGGGGTGATTTTAGATACTAACCTGACCTATGACGAACACATTACCAAAACTGTTTCCTCCTGTATGTCTTGTCTCAGTCAAACTAATTTGAATTCTTAGTAAACTTTTTTATTGTTCAAACGCATGGGCGAATACATCAAAAAGTAATATATGTAAATTACAAAGTATTCAGAACTTTGCTGCTCGAATTGCGACAGGTACTCGCAAATATGATCACATTACACCAGTTTTAAAAGAGCTTAAATGGCTACCAGTAGCAACTCAGATCAGTTATGCTTTGGGAAGGCTACCATAGCCTTTAAATGCCTTACTTTCCGCGTGCCGGAGTACCTTTCCTCCCAGTTCATTAAGGGAGGAGAAGTAAGCGGGCGTGCCACGAGAAGTTCACCGTTGCTGAACCCTTCCTTTGCCCTGCAAACGGCTAGACCTTTGTGTGGGTCGAATAACCACGAAAAATGGGTGTCCCGTCTCGAGTCAGTTTCGAGTAGTAGACCTAAAAATAGTGTCCCCAATTAGTACTTTCGTTTAAATACATCGACACTCCTTCAAAGTGCATTTTTTAAAGTGCCCAGACAGTATTGCAGATCGCGATCATATACAGCCCAAAATACTCGTGAGGCTCTGTCATTCTGCAAACTTTGAGAAAACGCGACCGGACACTCCAATCATTGAGAAACACAGAGACAGTTTGAAGGCTTCATACTAAGGTGATATGTGTAACTTGTCACAATATTTGTTGTAGGAATTGACAAAGTGGGAAAGATGCAAGAGGCTTATATCAGGAGAACAAAACCTGACCAAACCTGTGATTTTCCCGAATAATTCAGGAATTTTGGGTATCTATAGGCCTGATCAAGATTGCGCGCGTGTTTTACAAACTCGTTTTGTTCACCCCCCTTTGTCAAAGGAAGAAGAGCAGCTACCTATCGCTTTCGGTCTCACTGCTTACAAAGGTGCTCGTCTGCTTGAGCGACTTCTTCGACCTATTTACATGCCAAACAATGTCTATACTGCATTAACATTGACAAAAAGACTTCGGGGGTCTTCTGTAAAGCAATACAGGCCATTATACGCTGCCTCCCAAATGTTTTTATCGCTGGAAATAGTGTTGACGTCTCATGGGGCCATATTACTGTAGTTGAAGCTCAATTCAGTTGCATCGAAGAGTTGCTGAAATCACCAGTTAAATGGAAATATTACATGAGTTTAGTGGGACAGGACTTTCCACTTTATCGTAACAAGCAGTTTGTACGAGCGTTACAAGGTCTCAACAATACCTACAACATAGCACATTCTATGCCTAAACGTTATTCTGATCATATCGAACGGAGTTTGTTTACGTATTAAGAGGCCACTTCAATCGTAATACAACAAAACGGAAAGCGCCGCCACCGCACAATATTTCAATCTATAAGGGATCCACTCATATTATTGCTTTAAGAGAATTTGACGACTTTGCCCTTCACAGCCAAATAGCAAAAGACTTCGATGAATTCTTAAAGGAAACTCAAGTCCCGGGTGAAACGATGGACGCTTCTCTACAACACCTTCCAGGAGCTCCTGGCGGAATCAAAGGAAAACAACCAAAGTGGATACAGTGGGCCATGAATTTGACAAGAACGCGCCAGGGGCGTCGTGGAATATGGGTGGGGAATATCTTTCGGATTTCGCTAGAAGATTTACGCTGGGCTGTGGGAGAAAACAACAAGGAGAAACGTTTTGTTCATACAATTCCGTTTGACTTTAACGAGCAGTTAATAGAATGCATTATCGAGGCAAGGCCGGAAGAGAATACGCCAATACAGCATGGAAAGAAGACTAACATCTCGAGTACCATTGCGCCAACATTAAAGTTATCGCATGGTTGACTGAATACAGCGACAGGAAAAAGAGAATAGGCATTTACTGATAGAAAGACAGCTGAAATGTTAGGTAATTGAGCAGATACTTCGAAAGATAAGATAATACGCGATTAGCTCACAGTACACCCAAGCTTAAAAGGATAGATGATCAGTTTAAATGCATCTGGTTTAAAAAATAAGGCCGAAAAATAAACAGAAAGATGGACAGATAGACAGATGTCTCAAAGAAATCGAAGCTATAAAGTCAACATATAACAACACAATACATGTTATTCACAATGCATCTAAAACAACTTAATAAATCTTATCCTTCTAAATATCTGTTCAATAACCTACCATTTTCGTTGTCTGTGAAAAAAGACGGATCGGAACTCACCAATGACATTAAGACTTCATAGCCAATCACATCCCGGCTTAACTGATGGATAATATTCAAGCCAAACTCAAAAAACCAAGTGCTCGTTTTTCCCCACGCGCAATAAAATGCGGAACCACCCTAAGATACTGCTACTCTGCTTATCTTGAACTGTTTCAAACACGCACTACTTGCACGACCATATCCCTTTGTGTGTTTATATTTATTATTTATCGTATTTATATTTATATTTATTCACGCGTTTAGAGAGAGTTAACAAGTTTAAATATCTTGGGGTCCTCCTAGACAACAGCCTATCTTGGAAGGACCACGTAGAATATATCGGTAACAAGATCTTGTCTAGATTAGGTATTCTGCGTCGAGCGCGTAAGGTTCTTCCTAAACCAACTTGTCAAATGCTCTTCAATACTTTAGTCCTGCCATTGTTCGATTACTGTTCGCCTGTCTGGGACAGTTGTGGGGTTGGGAGCAAAGCCTATCTAGATAAGCTAAACAGACACGCCGCATGTATTATTGAAGGTCGATCTATCGGGGCTGAGGAGTTAAAACCAACACTTGGCTGGCCTAGCCTACAAGCACGCAGAAATTATATCAAATGCGTCTTAGTCCATAAGTGTCTTCACGGAATAGCGCCTTCGTACTTACTTTCATAGTTTAGACACGCGCACCTTTTCCATGGCTATAACACCAGAAGTCGTGATTTGCTGCGCCCTCCCTTCGCAAAAACTACCAAATACCAAGGTAGCTTCAGAATAAACGGTGCTCGGACCTACAACGCCCTGCCGAGAATCATTAGACAAGCAGAGACCCTCAGTGAATTCAAAATCAAGCTAAAGCGCCACTTTAAACAGTAACACCTGCGTTACATGTTGTCTTAACTTAATTAATTATCTAATTTTAATGTTTTAATGTCTTTGTTTTTGTGTTTTGTCAGGGCTCCATTTAAACTAGCTCTGCCAAATTAGATGCCCCTGGATAAATATTTAAATAAATAAATAAATACTTACTCACTCATCTGTTTGGAGAAGATGGGGTTTCTGGCGAGTATGATCTTTGTTGAGCACGCTCTGGTGGTGCCTAAGATAACTAACAAAGAGTTTGTCTCTCTGTTCTTTTCTCCTAGGACCCATTGTATGTTTTTATCATTAAAGTTTTAATTTTCCTTCTTAAACATTCACTTCTAGCTTCAAATGTAAATATATTAGCTGCCTTAATATAATATCCGCTTTTGTCTGCCTTTAATTGATTGATAAGTTGAACGGTTTAACTCTAATAAAATCTAAACAAGTTTCTGGCATACAGTAACCTTTAATTAATAAAAGTAAATAAATAGTCGGCTTACCTTAACATCCTAATGTAGAAAGTGACTTTTCCTTGAGAAAGATTTCATTATTAACTTACCGGCATTCAGTCTAGCGACTTATGTGTTTGTTGGCTGTTTTGTTTTCTTTTTTGGTATCGGAGCTCCGGGACTTATTAGCGGTACTTTGTGTAGATAAAAACCTTTTTCCTCAATATTTATTGTCATCAAAGAAAAGCGTACACAGCTTTTCCAAACACGTAAGGTTGGAAATGTTAGATATGCATTAAGCAAAAGTTTTAATTTGATTATTTAATTATAAACAGGTATATACCTTTCCTATGGTGGAAAGCCACAAGTGCACCGCTAATATACACTCTGTATAATTAACAATTGTTCCACGAGGGCGCGTTGGATATGAGATGATAGATAGCCAACGAGGCGCGTAGCGCCGAGTTGGCTATAATCATCTCATATCCAACAAGCGCGAGTGGAATAATTGTTTTATTAAAAACGCCCACAAAATCGCGTTGAATCTCCACGACTAGAACAAACCGGAAAAGACAAGGTATTTCCGCTATTCACATGTCACACGTCTATCAAAACTGTCAACGCGCGAACGGACTCGCCTGGACTGCATGAATGAAAAATCAAAACATTGTAGCGATTAACATTAGTTTTTTAAAAACTCATCGGGATTCTAGGATTTTACACAGCAGAACAGCTAACAAAAACCTGGCAGATAATGTGAAGGAAAATAATTTTTAAGTGACAGCCGTCGAAATTACTGTGAATTTGGATTTTCGGTGCAGTTATAAAAGTAAGAACAACGGAGAAAAACTATTACCTCGGTCGCTTGTTATGAAGTTGTTTGAAGCCAGAAGCCGGTTTTGCTGAACGAGAAAAGAAGCTATATTGCCGCCTCGATTGCTCTAGTGAATGGCTGCATAGCCTGTATTTGTAGCTGGTTACTTGTGATTTATATTCTTGATGTCGGATAAACAAGCCACAGTTATCTATCGGCGGGTGACTCGATCGGCGAATGGCTTCGCGATCATGAAGAAACAACACTTGTCTTCTTTCGTAGCTGGTCAAGGTACTTTAGTTCCATGTGTGTCATACGTTTTTCGACAAACTTTCAAACAAGCTCTTGTGGCTTTTTTGTTTGTTTTTTTTCTTTTTTCTTTCGATGAAATTGCATTTCTAGTATTCTAAGAAATGAATTAAAACGATTTGCTTCGGGCGCCGTTCTATCCTTCGCGAAAAAAAATCTCAGCTAGCTTCCAATTTTAAACTGACGCGTACACCGACCATATATGGAGAGCATGGTATAATAGCTCATATACCATAACGGCTAAGCCAATCAAAATGCTAGAATTGCATTATCCAATGATTCAGTTTTTAATAATACATATTACACAGAGTGTGTATTACCGGTGCACTTGTGGCTTTCCACCATGAAGTATATACCTATAAACGTCTGTCGCTAAAAATGGTCACGTGACCTACACGTATCTTGCTAAGAAGGGTCATTATACCCACAATGTTTACAGTGACGAGGCCTGTCTGTGCGAAGTCTCGAATCATTTCCCTTCTCGACCTCCAAGTCAAAGGTTTTTTTTTCAGTGGGCAATATTTCTCCGTATGTTAAGACGCTGTATCCCACAATTCCTGTTTCCACACAGCAGTTGCATATTTTCTTCCCTGCCTTGCAACAAGAATGCATTCTATCAGCTCATCGTTGAAGTCAAACGGAATCTTATGAACAAAGAGTTTGTCTCTCTGTTCTTCTCCTAGGACCCATTGTAAATCTTTCAAGGAAATCCAGCAAAGACTCCGTACCCACTTTCCATGACAGATATTTGACTTATGGGCTGGCCAGGCCAAGACACGTGATATGGACTTCGGTTGATCGCCATTGATTCCGCCTGGGGCTTGAGGATTCCGTTGTAGAGACGAGTATATCGTTTCATCCGGGATAAAAGTATCCTTTAAGAATTCATAAAAGTCTTTTGCCATTTGGCTATGAAGAACAAACTTGACAAATTCTCTTAACGCAATGATATGTGTTGATCCTTTATAGATCGAAATATTATGTGGAGGGGGTAATTTTGGTCGACCAGTCATTACAACCTTATTATCGATTAATAAGTGGACATATTTAGTTCTGTTTTGCAACTTTTTGGAAACTGGTCTACTTACTATGTTATTAAAGTTGTTAAGACCATTTAGTGCCTTGACAATTTGCTTGTTATCGTAAAGAGGAAAATCCTGTCCAACTAAACTAATGTAATATTTCCATTTAACAGTCGATTTCAAAAGCTCTTCCATGCAACTGAATTGAGCTTGAACTATTGAAATATGTCCCCAGGTGACGTCAACACTGTTTGCTGCGATAAAAACGTTTGGAATGCAACGTATAACAGCCTTTATCTCTTTACGGAAGACAGCTGAAGACTTTTTGTCGATATGAATGCAATACATATTGTTTGGCATGTAAACAGCTCGTAGAATTTTTTCAAACAGACGCGCACCTTTATAAACAGTCAGGCCAAAAGCGATTGGTGACTGCCTTTCTTCTTTTGAAACAGGAGGATGAATAAAGCGTTTGCTTAAAACATGTAAGCAGTCTTGATCAGATCTGTAGATGTCGGAAGTTGCTACAGTCGATAAATTCCTACTCTGATTTGGTTTTTCTTCGCCAGAAATAAGTTTTGTACATCTTTTCCACTTTGATTCCTGCAATAAAAAGGCAGCATGTGAGTCTTACTACAAAGAAAGAAAGAGAAAGGAATTTTAAAAAAGATATTCTGCCTAGTAGGAACCCAAGAAGTAGCTATGACGAAGAGACAACGGCCATCATGTGTTAGTACCATCGGCTAATCTGACAGCCAGGTGTAACCTGATAAAGTGAACATCTACGACGAAGGAATAACAAAAGGAATGCATATTAACTGTTTTGTTTGTTTTTTTTAGTGGTATTTTTTTACTTAGTCTTTTCCTCAGGGAAATAATTCCATTTAACATCCACTCTACGTTTGACGAAGAGTTATTAACTTGGTTATAATGGGCTCCTGCAAATATCGTTTAGGCCGTGGTCACAGGACTACGCACTAGATTGGAGTGCACCTGCGAGCACTAGGTAATCTACTAGTCTCACGGACCAGGCCCCGGTTATTCAAACGTTGCGCAGCGCTATCCACCGGTTAAATTGCTATCCAATAGATAAGTATTAGGGAAACTGGTTGCGTTATCCACTGGATAGAGATTTATCCAAGGGATAGCGTTTTCCACCTTTCGAACAACTGCGCCCAGCAAAGCAACTACGAGGGTGAAGAGGTCAGTTAAAAAACGAATTCACGCTGTTCCAAACTTTATCGTTGTTTGATGGATCGAGACCACATAAAATGAAGTAAGTTGGACTGGCCGTAAAGTATGGGATGAATTCAGTATTGGATTTTTCTACTCAAACGATGCTGCAGCCTGTCCTGACCCAAATGAACCGCTCTTGATATCTCCCGACAAACTACGCGCCTAACGAAGTCCAAGAACAGCACGTTAGGGGCGATCCTTGTCAGAGGGTCCGTAAGAGAGATCCAGGGGGGTGGCTGTTCGATTCAAGACCATTCCATTTCGCTGCGCGTTTCTTTCTTATTTCGTGAAAAGATTCAATTCCACTGTTATCTGTATTCAATTGCACGTTTTACTTTTGTATGAAGAAGACGCGGGGGGGGGGGGGGGGGGGACTAGCGGGGCGTGTAGACGTGGATGCAGAGCGGGTCGAGGAGGTGGATTGGTGGGTTGTTTTTGTATACTATTTGCTCTTTTTTTTTTTTTGTTTTTTTTTTTTTTTTTTGTAAAAATTTTTTGTTTCTATTTTTTTTTATTTGTTGTAGGTTTTTTTTTTGTGTTAGAGGGGGGGGGGGGGGGGGGGGGGGGGAGGAACTCCGGATATGAAAGGGGTGGGGATGCTCATCGTCTCGCTTAGGGGTGTAAATTTCGGATTTTGGTCTCACTTAGGGTGTTCTGGGCAAGACACCATCATATTTAGCCGTGAAGGTCTCGTTGAGGGTTGCACGCGAAAAAATTTAAAAATATATATTTTATATGTATATTTTCAGTTCGTTTTATTTACTCCATTCATATAGTCCAAGTTTTCTCATTTGTCTGTGTTTTAACATGGTCCTTTTAGGGGTCAAAAAAAGCTTGGGCCACGCCCAGATCGGTCTCCTTTAAGGGGTTTAATTCAAAATTTCCGACGAGCATCCCCACCCCTTTCATATGCGGAGTCCCCCGCCCCCTGGGAAGAAGATCAAAGAACTAAGTATAAACATGATGTATTAATTTTAGATACAACCTACAGGAGGTTTTATTTAATTTTCAACGGTTCTTTCACTAAAGCAAGATTGAAAAAAAGGGTTCGCGAGCCAAGAATACCCTTCCTAGATTTCGAAGGTCTTCGGCGGATAAGTTTTCATCGAAACAAATAGGGTTTTCGTATCAGTTTTCCCGGAGAATCGATCACAGTTCACTGCTTTTAATTTTAACAATCACAAATCACACCAAATACAAAAAGCCCGGCAGTCACGTTAACTGGAAACCCTCTTACAGTCCCAGGTCCGGTATTTGATGCACCCCAAGTTGTCGCTGACAGATTAAAACTGGGAGAAGAATCTGTGAGACGGAGCCTTTTCTCTTCCTTTCTTATGAGAGAAGACTGGAAGGTCCAACCAGAGACAGCACACCTCAGTTTGTTTATGACCTTGGTTTTTGGTCCGGCCAGCTACTCGGATAATGCCCTGAAGTCGTATAGCCAACTTGAGAGAGGAAAAACAACATCGCATTGTTCCTTTATCAAAATCTTGCTAACCGAACTCGTCTTCTTATAACCGCTGTATTTGAGTGTTTGAAGGAGGAGTCTCATAAAACTGAAGTAGGCCACTAATTCCTTATTAAAGAGAAGCAAAAATCCTAAATCCAAAGGAACGAAGAGCAGGTCTCCTAAAAGAAAAGGAAGGAATACTTCCTTCACCCTCTTTCGCCTTCCAGCTTGCCTCCCATTCTGTGGTGTGGGTACTCAAATTAAAGAGACTTAGCATTGTTAAACTATTGTCACATCTCTGACAACTCTGTGTTGGCTAACACCTCTCTGTCATGATTTATATATCACTTAACCTGGTTAAAATAAGCAAATGCGGAATTGCAGTTACCCAGTAAGCTCATTTGATCCAGGCATTCTTGCGCGCACTTAAGCTGAGCACTCAGTTTTTACCTTCGATACTATGAGGACACGTCTTTGCGTCATCTTGTTCACATTAAGAAAAACTGACCCGAAAATTACCATAGTGACCATAACCATGGTGAAACACAAGAACCAAGCCTTGGCGACTTTCAATACCATACTAACCAGTGACAGGTCCCTATAAGAAAAAAAAGGTTTTTTATTCCATGGTAACATGCACACATACAAACATACACACGTGCTGAACACGAAACTAACCGAACGACAACATCAGAAATCGAATATTAGAACTTTAAAATTAAATTAAGTTAATCCAGAATAGTAATAGCACAAGCAGTCCTCTTACGCTACGAAGTTGGGAATCTTAAAAGGGGAAATTAGCAATCTTTATTTTTTAGCCATACAGTGTTCTCTTGTTCGCATAGCTTGAGTTCTGTTTTCCATTGGAAAAATGCACAAGAAATTTTGGTTAGTGTCAGGCGTCGAGTTTGTATTGGACAAAAGCCAGGGAACTTATACTTCCAAGAATCTTAATTTTACAAGAAACGAAAAACTACTCCAGTAACGGGCTATGAGATTGCGTCACTGATACTCGTAAGACAGACAAAAAAGAAACATGACAACGAAAAATACAAAAAAGGCAAACTTTCAGACGAGTGAAAAGCCAAATGGGCAGATGAATACTGAAGTTGTAACATGTAATATTGTTGACAATTATTAATTATATATCCGCGCCTTGATATACCTATAGTTAGTGTCACCGTGATACACTTGATGTTTTAAAAAATGGGAGACTTTCCGGGAATAGAGTCAAGACGTGACGCGATTTTGTACGTACTGTATGTTTTGAGGAGGCTGCAGGTGATATAGCTTTTAGCGGACGCCAATTTAGTTCAACTTTATGTATGTTTTGAGGAGGCTGCAGGTGATATAGCTTTTAGCGGACGCCAATTTAGTTCAACTTAGTTACATTTCTTGTATCAAATGTAAACGTTAGGTGACTGTTAATCACAAATTCCCCCCATCTACTTTTTCTTCCAAGGAAAGATTGCTAGTTGAAACGACTTTCGGCCTAAAATTGAATCAATGATGTTAAATTCCTAAAGTTCTACTAAGCATTCTTTGTATTAGTCTTCAATTTAAACACAGTCCGATAAGGCATGAGTATATCTATTAAGTAAAACTGAACAATGAACGACGAAAGCGGGAATGCATTGAAAAACGATAATAGAGGTGCATGACCTCTGTGGACGAGTTAATGGTAATTCACAACCTACCTTACAAATGAATTGTCACTGGAATAAGTGGCAGACGAAGCTAAATGTCTTGATTATTATAGCTTGGTGATGTTTGCGTGCTAATATCAACCATCCAATATTTCGCATTTTTATGAGAAAAACAACTGATGGATAACTTTTACTCTCGTGACCAGCGGCTATCAGTTAATTTATTGGAACAACATAAAATTTCACTGTTGGTACATCAACATGGCTGCCACTTTATTGATTTAGAAGACCACTAGCCACATGTGACAGTCGTGTTAAAACCCTGTTTTTTGCGTGATCGGGTTCTTTGATCCCGTCATCAAGACACAAATTTTCTCTCCATCCCGTAATCCCGATGGCTATTTTCAGCATCCCGCATCCCGCATCTCGTGCATACTTTTAATCCTCAATCTCGCCCCCATTTTGCAATAAAATCCTGAATCCCGGTCTTCAAATAAGGAAAATCCCCGATCCCGAAAACCCATTGGGAAACCTCAAGTCATAAATTTACAGGGCATGCAAAAGCGTGCAACTTACAAACTGAAACATGAAAATTATTTGAACTGAACAAGCGAAACAACAAGCAAAAAAAGCCGAAACTTCTGCCTAAAGCCAAAGAGGGATGATAAGAAATGGCATGAGTGATGAGTAAGATTGATTCCAGGGAAAAGTGACTAAAACTGTGCGTACCTTTTGGAACATCCGAGCTTAGCTGCTGGCCAAATTTTGCGTTAGCGGGTATGGAGAAGGATAAACCGCCAACATCCCCAAGGGAGATCGCAAAAGTCCTTTTCTAGCCAAGTCCAGGAATGGATCGACCCCAATAAACATTTCTCAAAGGATGACATTGTGCGCCCTGCCCAAGATCGAGCCAGCTGGAGACGCCTACATTCGACTGCTATTCCGTCGACCAATGATGATGATGATGATGATGATGATGCACGAACAACGACAATATTGCTCTTTTTATCAGCAAATTCACTGGGAACTATCTAATGTTAGTCAAAGTTAAACTAGGGAGAACAGAAATCTGCGAAAACTGCCAATTTATCATTGGCAAACCAAGACGAAACGCTGAGGTGTAGCTTAGCAATGTTCAGTAACCAACAATTTAAGACACATTAACTAGCATGTGCAAGCTTTATTGGTTAAAGGAAACAATAGTATGAACGTAAACATTCCTTATATATTGTTCAGTTTCATAAGAATGTAGGTGGTGGTAGATCCCTTCAATTCCTGCAATTTCGATGAAGACCCTAGTCCAGAGTGTTTTCAACTTTTGAAATGGACCAGTCAAGGAAGATCCATTGGTACCACTTGAAAGAGCACCTTAAAATTTCTGAACTTGCCAAGTTTCAAGGAGCAACGACTTAAGCGAGCGAACATATAGTTCCACAAAGTCGCGAAAATTTACAAACGTTTGTATGGTGGGGGAACAAACTTGCCCCCCACCCCTTCCCCCACCATACAAACGTCTGTAAAATTTTGCGACTTTAAGGGGCTATATCTTAGTTAGTTTTAAACAAATCACTTTTAGACTTGGCAGTTTTACTAATGTAAAGGCGCTCTTTCCAGCGGAGTCGATGGATTTAACCTAACTTGGCCATTTCAAAAGTTGACAAAAACCGTTAAAAGGTCTATTAATGGCTTATACAAAGACCAGTTATTGTTTCCATACAGCAGTTTCATATTTCCTTCCCTGTCTTGCAACAAGAATACATTCTATCAAATCATCATTGAAGTTGAATGGGATCTTGTGAACAAAAAGTTTGTCTTTTTTCTGCTTTCCTAGCGCCCAGCGCAAATCTTCTACTTGGATCCAGCAAAGACCTCGTACCCAGGCCCCATGACAAATGTTACGAGTGTTCGTTAAAAGCCAGTACAGGGCACGCGGTATATACTTGGGTTGATTGCCACGAATACCCCCTGGGGCCAGCGGATGTTGTTGTAAAGATGAGTATATTGTTTCGTCTGGGACATAGGTGTCCTTCAAGAATTCAATAAAGTCTTTTCCTATTTTACTATGGAGAACAAATTCAACAAATCCTCTTATGGCGACGATATGTGTCGATCCTTTATGGATAGAAATATTGTGTGGCGGTGGCGACTTTGCGATACCAGTATTGTAGATAATGCGGTTTCTCAGCGTGTGCACTTTCTCAGTTCGGTCCTGATTATGTCGAGGCATGGGCATGCTTTCGATGCTGTTAGTATAGTTCAGCCCCCGTAATGCTCTCACAATTTGCTTGTTATCGTAAAGAGGGAAATCCTGTCCAACTAAACTGATGTAATATTTCCATTTCACTGAGGATTCCAGTAGCTCCTCCATGCAGTTCAGTTGAGCTTCAACAATTGAGAAATGTCCCCAGACAACATCAGTGCTGTTTGCCGAAATGAAAACATTCGGAAGACATCGAATTAGCGCCTGTATGGCTTTATGGAAAGCCTTCGGGGATTTCTTGTCGATGTGGATACAATAAACGTTATGAGGCATGTAGATGGCTCGAAGAGTTCGTTCAAAGAGGGATGCACCCTTATATAATAAAACTGCGTAAGCAATCGGCAGCTTCCTTTCTTCTTTCGTGACCGGAGGATGAACAAAATATCTCCGTAAAACATGATCGCAGTCCGTATCTAGCTTGTACACATCAAGGATATCAGAGTCATTTCTTTGGATATAAGTTCTGTTGACTTTCTCTTCGCCAGATATAAGTCTTTTGCACCTTTTCCACTTAGATGCCTGCAAGAAAGAAACTCGAGTTATATTATGCAATGCCGTCGATTACTCTGATACGAGAAATATCCGATTTCCACAGGTGACTTTATTTTTCTTGTCCTATATGCGAGTTTTTAGACAAGTGGGCATACAAATCAAGTTCCAAGTATATCACGAGCAAGCATTAGATAAGTAATTTATCCCATGCTACTTCTCTAATTTTGAGAGAAATACGAGGCGTACAAATTTATGAAAGTAAATCAAACTGGACGGTTTACATTCACTGGTAAAGTGTATTGTTACTCTCTGGCGTCATGCAATGTGGCCCGCCCAGAGACTTATTGTTAGATTTTATGTGATGCGAAGTAGCCAATGAGAGGTTGCGCTCCTAGGTACAAATAGGTAGGTACAAATAGATCACTTTCTCATTTAAAACTTACCACCATGGAAAACTCTGCAGATCAGGCCTTCTTTGAGGTTGTATCCTTGACGGTATAGGCTCAAATTGGATAGCAATCCAATGAAACTGCGTCTTAGGAATTTATACTTTGAAGGCGCCTGTTAGATTTCTTCCTTAGCCCTAAAAAAAACCTGCGCCAGGTACGCAAGCTAACTTGTAGACGATATAGTTTAGGTCTTTTATTTCCATTGGACAGACCAGACGAACAGATCAAAATAAATACAATTCAAGCTTGAAAACCATTTCCAACGCCAAAATTTTACAACGAAATAGGAGTAAAAAGTGGTAAGTTGCAAAATGTGGAGAAGGAAGGAAAAGAGTCAGCCAAGACATCTTAACCGGCGGTGTAAGATCAACAGCCAGATATTTGCAAAGATTTCAGCAGAGAAAACATTTCACCATATTGCCGGAAATAAAGGATAATAATGGATTCTTTCTAATTGTAAGATTTTAAGATTGTTTGCAGATTGCAAAGAGGATGCACCTTCGTCGTGGTAGACATCATGTTGATAATATTGCTCCCTTTTTCAGTGCTGCAAGAAACAACTCGGCGTCTTGCCCGCCGGATATAACTATAACCCCACAAAATGACTGATTCTTCTTTTCTGCAATATTCCTATCATTTTAGTCATCTTACCGTTTCCTGTGGTGAATAGTACCATTTATGCTTCTGAGAAAAGAAAAAAACAATAAGGTCAATAATTAACGATAACACTCAAAAAAGTGCTTTGTGGTAGGTCAAAATTTACAATTTTTCCTTCGGTTGCTTCTCACTTACCTTTGTTTCCAAGTCCTTATCAATAAATAATTAGGGTCTGGACAAATAAGAATCAGCGTAAGTTGAAAATAAATAAATAAAAAAAAGTATCAAATAATAATCATCATCACCATCGTTAATAATAATAACTATAACAATAATAGTAAATTAACATCTATAATATCAACGTTATCTATTTGTAAATTATGGGTTACCGATGTAGGGCTAACAGATGAAAGCGGCTCTTGGTAATATGTAGGAACGTTTGTCTATTGTGCATTTAAGTAAACGATTGCTGGTAAATTGACTTATTCTAATCGTTATCTCGAAAAGTGAGATATTTCTTAGACGCATTTGCACTGCAGAGGTATGAAATGTTGAAAATCAGTACTGACAGTTTAGTTGTGAAAAAAAAAAGCGCACTCGAGTCCTCCTTTCTTCTACCTTGCCAAAGCTTCGTTAGTATCTCACTGATCTTGCAGTCTACTCAAATTGCGTTCAGTTAATGTGTAACTTATTATCCATTAATCTGAAGGATATTTGTAGATCACATTATGGGGATTGTTATTGAACGTGTACCCGTTTTGCTCTTAGCCCTAGACCAAAAGTCGAACTATTCATCAGACAAACCAAACTTTAATTTGGGCCGACCTAAATGAAGTTAGGATCGTCTGTTGGGTCAGACGTCAAACTTAGAACCCGTGAGACCAATCAACTGAATCACATAAAAAAATAATTTATCTTCCGAACGGGCTAAATACCGTAAAATTCCGAAAATAAGCCCCTCCTTGTATGAGCCCCCCCCCCCCCAAATATAACCCTCCGTTAAATCGCCCCTCCAAATATAAGCCCCCGGGGGGCTTGTCCTTGGAAAATTGCCCTGAAAATAAAAAGTAAAACAAAGCCAAAACGGTAAATTTACTTCCAACAGTAAGGCTAGCCTAATCGATTTTGAAACGCAAATTTCCCTCCGTAGATAAGCTCCTCCAAAAATAAGCCCTTCAAAAAGGGCCTTTGAAAAATATAAGCCCCGGGCTTATTTTCGGAATTTTACGGTACCTTATTATCACACAAATTTTTAATTTATTAATCTAGTTCGTCACATGTGAAGATGGACGTTTGTCCCGGGGACGATCTTCAGACGCTCTATCCGTCTGAAGCAGATGTATAGAACGTGCTGGACGATCCAAACTCATTCACACGGTCTTAACTGAGCCAGACGTCGAACTTTTCATGAACTGATAAACTTAGCGCACTAAGTTTGGTTCGTCTCATGAAAGAGTCCAGGTTTGGCCTGGGCCTCACAAAGTTTTGCCTCGCAAAGTAGAAAGTACAAGACTCACTATACACTAATCCTCTTTCACGAGCTCGTTTATGATGTATTACCTTCGGCTTTGGGCTCAAAATTCCCGACTTTTGGACAATCACAAAAGTTACCACAGCGAAAAAAGAACATAATACCACAAAGATTTTAATACGTGACAACGCCATAGAAATTACGAATCTGAAAAAAAGATAAATAAACAAATAAATTGATTAGTTAATTAATTAATAAGAAAACACAGTTAAATTTTGCCTGCGGTAAATTTGGGCATCGCGGATAAAGACAGTTACTGACAATAGACCCTTTCACGGTTTTTCAAACTTTTCACAATTCGGGAAAATGCGTCTACGCCACTGGAAAGAGCGTCTTAAAATTAGTAAAATGCCAAATATGAAAGTGATATGTCATAAGCGAGACAAGACATAGCTCGGCAAAGTTGCGAAAATTTACAAACGTTTGTAAGGTGGGGGGCAGGTTTGTGCCCCCACCACAAATCACACTTGGCAATTGTGCTAATTTTAAGGCGCTTTTTCCAGTGGTGTCGACGGAGTTTCCCTAATATATTATATATAACTTGTCTATGTCAAAAATTGTGACCGTAGAAGGGTCTGATTGTTTACTATTATGTGGACCTTAAAAGTACTATTAGATAGAAGGACAAGCTAGATGTTCATTGGAATGTCTTACTCTAAATGCTTTTGATCATTTTCATTCGTTATCTCAATAAACGAAATCGCGTCGGTAGATTCATTTTTCCTGCACAAGTTGTGTATCAAAGGTATCTATTCCATCAAAAGTAATAACGTGACAAGTCTTACTAATAAAAGAATCTATTTATGTGCGTGTTGGTTATGTTTTTGATTCGCGTTTTTCAGAATGAAAGATTCAACCGATTTCTATGATTTTTGGCATACTAAATAAATAATAATGGAACTTTAGGAAAATGTTATTTATTTTTTTGTAGGTATAAAAACTTTTGAGATATCGGCATAAATTTAAAACTGCATTTTTACGAAAAATGTAAATAAATTAGAAATCCCAGAAAGATTTTTCCCTAACTTCAGCAAATAAGCCTGAGAGCTCTCTAGTTTTATATCTGAAAGTTTGAAGGCAATCGTGACCGTAGAACTCGCTGCACAAAATGCTGATCAAATTTAACCTTAAAATGCTACGCTAACACATTTGTGCACAAATAGAGGAAGACTGCCGACAGACCTTCTCCTATCTGAAAGGATATTCCTACCTAAAGCTTTATTGCAAGAAACGGAGTAATCAGAAAGTTACGGCGAATACAGTTTGCACTTTAAAAAGAATAATTTTAAGCTGAATGCGCGGTGATATTAAAGAACTTCTATTCATCAAACTTACTTTGTATTTGTCCCTCTCTTTAGAAAACAAATCTTAACAAAGCAAAATATAGCATCTACGAAAAACTGTCAAGAGTTTTTAGCGTCGCAGGTTCCTGTTCTGAAGAGAAATAATGCCACCAACGCCAGTACTTCTAACCATCAATTTTTCAGCTACAATGAACCCTTCATATTTGGTAATTTATTCAAGCTTTTAAGACTTACCATCACATTTGCACGGGCAGTTTGCTGTTGGGGATAATGAGAAGAATAAGACGATTGTCATATTTGTCTTCATCTTTATTCCCAGGTGGTAAACTTCCTGTGCGAATGTGATGGCAAGTCTAAACAGCTTGAATAAATTACCAAATACTAGGGTTTTCATTGCAGCTGAAAAATGGATGGTTAGAAGTACTGGCGTTGGTGGCCTTATTTCTCTTCAGAACGGGAACCTGCGACGCTAAAAACCCTTGAGAGTTTTTCGTAGATGCTATATTTTGCTTTGTTAAGATTTTTCCAGCAGCAGCGAGTTCTACGCTCACGATTGCCTTCAAACTTGTAGATGTAAAACTAGAGAGCTCTGAGGCTTATTTGCTGAAGTTAGGGAAAAATCTGTCGTGGGATTTCGAAGTTATTTACATTTTTCGCAAAAAAGAGGTTTTAAATATATGCCGATATCTCAAAAGCCTTTATACCTACAGAAAAAAATAAATAACGTTTTCTTAAAGTTCCATTATTATTTATTTAGTATCCCAAATATCATAGAAATCGGTTGAATCTTTCATTCTAAAAACGCGAATCAAAAACATAACCAACACGCACATAAATAGGAACGGGCCACCTTAACTCTCACTCAGGACAAAAATGTTGGCTTAGGGGAGGGGTAGGTGGGCAGTTTCCTGGAAGCGTATAATGATCCGAAAAATTTAAGTTCATGCAACAGCCTTCGACCCATATTTAATTATGATTTAAACCAAGGTCACGAGCTACTTGAAGTTCAAGTGCGTTGTAGTTCAGTCCGGATTTAGCTGTGAAAAGCGTTTCGCCTAACATTTCGGCGGAGTAACAACAGAGTGATTGTCTCCCATGAAAATACGTTACTCACGGCTGAGAAAAATAGCGAATCCCCAACTCATATTACGGTATAAAAAAATTATATCATGACCGTTTGATCTGTTCACATTTTCCTAAAGTTCGTTCCGATGAAATGGACATGTGAATACCGTATTTATTCGAATAAGCGCCCATCCTAAAGGCAGAAAAAAGTTAATAAGCGCCCAGCCTCGAATAAGTGCCTAGCCTCGAATAAGCGTCAGAAAAAGATAACCGAAAATTTCCAAAACCCATTTTATGAACTGGACGTTCCTTGCCGCAGCCCAGTTAATTACGAAGGCTTTGTTTCTTTCTTGCTAGAAAACACCTTTATTTTTAACCCGTTACCTAATTAGGGGAATGCTTTTGATAAGGAGCGGGGGGGGGGGGGGGGTAAAAGGGGGCGGGGAAGTTTGAAATTTTTTTTTTATTTTTTTTGGAAAAACCCTGGGGGGTTTTGACCGACAAAATACAATCAAATTCGAAATCTTTCCCTCCCTCTGTTTGTGTTTTTTTCCCCCCCTGGAAAAATTTTTTTGTCCCCAAAAAAAAGGGGCTTGGTGTATTTTCCTTCTTCTCTTCTTGGGTACGTGGGCGTTCTTGCCACACCTATAGTTATATTTGTGTTTTTTTTTGTTTTTTGTGTTACAACTTTTTTTTTTTTTTCCTTTCATAGTGGTGTTGGGGTAGGGGTGGTGGGGGGGGGGGGGGGGGGGGGGGGGGAGTTAAAGGGAGCGGGCAAGTTTGAAATTTTGTTTTCATATTCTTTGGATAACACCTGGTGGGTTTTGACCGACAAATTACAATCAAATTCGAAATCTGTCACTCTCTCTGGTCTGGTCTTATTCCTCCCCGTGAATAGATTTTTTGTCCCAAAAAGAAAGGAGCTTGGGCTATTTTCCGAAATAGCGGCTGATAATCGAATATCGAATAAAGCCATGACCTGCTTAGTCTGCTACACAGCCGTTTTTAGTGGGGAGGAGCGTTGCGTGACGACGCTAAAAACGGCTGTGTAGTAGACTATGACCTGCTTACAAGACTGATAAATTGAAAATATCAACACATTACAGAGACATAATGTGAAGGGAAGTATGGCGTGACTTTGAGATTTCTATGATTAGCAAATATAGATATGATTAGTGGCCCAAAACTGGTATGCTAGTAAGAGACACAACATAATTCTTATAGACAGAACTTTTGAACATAAATGAAGCTAGGAATGCCTCCAAGCATGTCGATATTCAACGTAATGTTTTTGATTTTCGACTCCGCAGGCAACTTTACTTGATATGTTTTACTGCACAAACATTTGTATGAATCAATTGGTTTTGTTCTTAATCATAACTTCCACGGAATATACATCTGCCAGCGTAACATGAATTGTTGTCTTGAAATTCGTTTGGTTTGTCGAAAAAACATGAGAAATGAAACGACGCTAATCTTCTTTTAACCAGTTTTAACTCAGTGACTGAAGTGTTATCTTTCTGTTTATAAATGTAAGATTCTGCTACAGGAAAGCCCCGGTTTTCATTCCTCATGAAAGAATAGTCTTAGGATGCTTACCTTTAGTTTTGAAACACGCGTAAGACTTGCGCTGTTTTGCTTTGTCCTTGTGTTGTCTTCGGGTTCTTGACCGACAAAAATGAACTGACGGGAATAATCTAAGCTCATATTTCATAAAGGAGGCATTTCATCCAGAAAAATGCCGTTAATTATTAACTCTCAACTGAAAAAAATCACGTCATTTGCAGTCAGTCCTACCGAAAATGGCATTAGAAAAATGAAAATGTTCATGTAATGTCTGTAATGCAAAAGTCAGATTCCCTTCTCAATTTGATGTTATTCTGAAGAGTACAATCCAGTTGCAAGACCGGTCCTCAAACAATAAAACTAGTTAGGTCACGATAAACACTGATGCTAAGTATCCGGCTTATCATCCGCGACACAAGAATAATTATAATAAAAGTGGCGGTTCAAGAAAGAACTACTCGTATGATGAAACTTTAGATTAGTTTTATTATGTTCCAGTCAAATCCTTTTAAAAAGTCCTTAATCCGTGTCTCGTAGTCGGCAACACAATCAGTTAAAAGCTAGACTCGATTTCCGCCGCTCTCTCGGTCCTCCCCGAGAGACGCTGAAATAGACGAGCACCCTTGCAATTACTGAGGACACTGGGCGATTAATAACAGATTCGGCGCCGGTACAGTGATATTTACGCGCGGTTGTTTGTGAACGTTGTGGAAAATGTGTTCTGAAACAACACTAAGGGTGCGTTCACATTTAGTACCAGGGAACTAGTTCCCGGGCACGGTACAAAATGGTGCTTTGTCCACACTCTGGGTACCCAAGTTGTTTTTCATCCACTTTGCTCCATCAGCAGACGCCATTTTTGCAAAAAGGAGCGAAGGAGTTGACTGTGGGTAAAACTTCTCGGAGCCAACGGAAAACACGTGCACACAGGGACCCGGTGACCACTTTAGTGCCTTAGGACAAGGTTGAGACCTTGTCTTGAGACCTTGCTACAACCAGTTGCAAAAGTACTTGAGACATTGTACCTTATTTTGGCATAAATGGCTTCTCCATGATCTTGTGCTTGTAATCCCCCCTCCACCCCTTATCAAACTTGCTAGCAATACAAGACCATCCTCAAAACTTGGAGGAACAACTTTGAATGGGAAGGAGGAGGGAGGTCAGTTTTATATCTCACGGACCTGTGACCAGGAGCGATTTGAAGCAAGAAAGGTCGTTTTTTCGTGGGAGTGGCTCAACATTTTTGCAACTGGTTATAGCGCGGGTACTTCAAAAAAGGTGCGTTCACATTAGTGCCCAGCGAGTATTATGCTTGGGCACCAGCGCCCAGGAACCAAGTGTGAATCCACCTTAAGGTATCTAGCTTTCACTCTTGGTGCCCGCGCACAGTAGCCAAGTACGGTTCGCGCCTCGCTTGTCACTAATGTGAACGCACCCTTTTTTCAACTATCCACGCCAGAATTCGGGCACGGTGCTGGTGCCCGAGTACAAGGTCGAGGGCACCAAAGTGGGCACCGGGTCCCTGTGTGCACAACCGTTTCGATTAGTTCTGGGGAAGAGACAATGAGCTGGGGCAGTGTACTTCTTTCTACTCGCTGCTAGGCTCTTGTTTCAAAATGGGTTCTGAAAGGGTGAAATGGAGTAACTATGTAGAGTCGAACCCCGCTTTGCGGACACCCACTTAATACGGACACCTCGTTATTATACGGACAGTTTTTTAATTTTATCTATGGGAAAAGAAAGCCCTGCCTTGCATTTTCTCTAAATTCAAACCACTTATTTCGGACACCCTTAATGCGGCAACGGACACTTTTTTCTTGCTCAATCAACCGATTCTCATATAAAATAAACCTTGCTAATGCGGACACTTCATTTTCCACTGTGTGCTGTGATAAACCTCACTTTATTTTGAAGATAAAAAAACTTTCAGTTGACATCATATCGACATTCCCAGCGCTGCAACGCACCGAATAGGATGAAGAGAACGATTCATTTGATTATGTAAGGTATAATGTGCGACTTATCGAGAGTTTTGAGTGTTTTCAAGTACATAGTACGTGGAATAAAGGCTTTGGGAAGTTTAGAGATGTTTAGTTAGACAATTCCAGTCTCCTAGCTGTTTAATTTCTTTAGTATTTTGTTAAAAAAAGGTGTACTTTTGAGTTAAATTACTTGACCTGCTAAATTCGGACACACCGTTGATGCGGACACTTTCTATGGCCCCTTCAGTGTCCGTATTACGAACAGGGTTTGACTGTACACAATTACTGATATGGGGTACCCAATGAATGGCCACAACACCATATTGTACCGGTACCTGGGCACTGACTTCCGACCAAGTGTGGGCAGACCCTATAGCTCATAGCAATCCATGCAGGACCTCGGACTCGTGTAGTATTTGGTCTTTAGGCCCCGTTGTGTCAGAACCTCCATTTGAGGGATATCTTAAGAGGTCATGCGGCAACCGGAAGAAAACGCCTCGAGAACAAGAAGAGGGGAAGCCCCACGCGGCTAATTGCCGCCAGCTTGCAGGTTATCTCGCGACTCGCTTCGCTCGCCGCTTGCTTGCAGGCTCTTGAGAACCAAGCTTCTGTTGTTTGGTGTGTTATTATTGAGTTTTAGCGTTGCTTAACTCGAAAAGATACCGACGCGAAAGCAATAGACTTCTTTGCTAATCAGCTTGGTATTACTGTGTCTTCAGACCTTATAAGCCGTTCCCACTGTACTGGCAAGAGAGGTCGTACACCCAGGCCGGTCATCGTTCGACTTGTGCACTATAACATGAAAGTTCAACTTCTACGTAAGCGTCGGGAATTAAAGGCTCGAGAAACTAACTTCGACATTCGGGAGGACTTGACACAATGCCGTAGTGACATTCTACATTATATTCATAATGACATCACAGAATGCATTATTCACAAAGTCTGGACCATCCATGGAATTATTTTTATGAAGCCGACGTCCCGTTCCTCAGTGATTGAGAAATGTACTACTCTCTCTAAATGCCACGAGATTGTGAACAAATACAGCTAGTCAGCCACTGAAGCTAACTCTGCTTTGTCACGCAGGTACTCTTTACAGAAGCTAACTTTGTTTTGTCACGCAATGTACTCTATTTGATATCTTGAGGTATCAAGATTATGATTGTTTAGCTCTCTGCATAATTGCTTCCTTGCTGCTTGCTTTTATTTATCAATTTATATTATTTACTTGTTTGTGTATTTCTTGCTTACTTATTTACACTTGTTTGTTAACACTGACATAGCATTAATTTTAGTAGTAGTAGTAGTAGTAGTAGTAGTAGTAGTAGTAGTAGTAGTAGTAGTAGTAGTAGT